CAGCAGTTCTCTTCTTCAGAGTCTCAACCCTCTATTTCTCTTCTTTAGTTATGGGGAAGCTGTCGAAAGATGGAAGTGCCAAATCCATCAGGTCTGCAGCTGTGGCACTGGAGGCGATTTCTTTGAGGTTGGTGGAGGAAAGTAAGTCCTCAATTAAAGGAGGGTCGCTCCAAACTTGTGCTTCGAGAAAAACAAGTTTCTCCTTAGTTATGGAAGAGGGGAATGTTGCTAAAAGAAGACCAAGAAATTCATAAATATAACGAAATAATAAAACTTGACATGGGAAATAACCAAAGCACTTTTCATAGAATAAGGGAAGATACTTTATACCTAACTTCCCAAATTTGCGAGGGATGGGGAGGGTATTCGATTTGTTCACAGACCAATTCCCTTTCACAATTATCATCATCTCTTTCCACTTCTTCTCGAATGAAGGGAGGTCTGTACATATCCTCTGCTGAAGAGGGGAAGTGAAATAAAAACGGCCAGGCTCAGTCCCATGTATAGCGATGGTATAATTAATAAGTAAGTCAGCAAGAGTCAAGTCAAGACTCTCTAACCTTTGGCGAACTAGAAGTGCCGAGACTATTTGAAGAAAGTTAGGGTTTACTTGGAGAGGGGCAAGTCCTAACTTATTAAAGACCATGTGATAGAAGAGGTGAAGAGGGAACCGAAGAGCGTTAAGGAGTCCAACTGATAGAAGCAATTCGTCGTCCCTTACACCTTCGCCGGAACTGAAATCAGCCCCTTCTGGGTATTTGACAATGTCTACCCCAACGGGAATCTCAAATTCCTCTATTATAGACTCAATAGAGAACTTGATACGCCGAATAGACAAAATCAACTTTCTTTCTTCTTTAGTAAACACACAATTTGACCCGGAAGTGGATACTTCAGCGGGAGAAAGGGAGACATCCAGTTGAACAGCTGAATCGTTCGCGAATTTAACGAGGTCAGAAACCCTAGGGGGAGGAATCCTAATAAGATTGGGGGAAGAAGAAGGTGTGGAATCCGAATCTACAAGGTCTATACAATCATGAGTGGATGAGGAGCTCATGATGTGAAAGAAATTAGACAAATGAATGAGGAACTAACCTGAAATCATGTTGAAGCAATAAGCACAGTAAACGTCGTAGAGTCAGGAATGAGCTATGAAGAGGCCTTTTAGTCAGAATGGCAATGGACACATCTTGAACTGCCTTTTGTAGAATTGGCAATCGTGCAACTTCAATTTCCCTTTTAATTAGGAGTCGTAGTCCAATTAAAGAGGGAATTAAGGGCAAAGTGTGGAGGGAAAAAAATCCCCCTTCCAATAAGAATCGTCCACGTCATCACACTACAAATTTATATTTTATACAGCAAGGGCCCGAATGGTATCAAGCCCAAATTGGGAGAGCCCAATCTGGAACAAGCTCAGGCAAAATCTTTCTTCCATATAGATCGCTGACTAAGCCATTCGGCCCATTTACTAAGCCCAGATGCGTACAATCTCATTCAGGCCCAGTGAAGACATCAACAGCTCGGGGCGCTAAGGTTGAACTCCAAGCCTATTTACCGAATCATTTGGATTAGCCGACACTCAACCCAACCTCAATTAAAGGCAGACCAGTCTTGCTAGACAAATGATTCAACAAAGAAAGCAAGTTCTGTGCAAGGAAAGTTTTGCATGGAAAGAATTGTAAAAAGGAAAGGATTATAATTGTAAAGAATGTCATTTATGGAATGGATTAGAGGACAAGCCAGACGAGTCCTACCATAATTCCACCACCTTGTTTCTTATAAATAGAGGCCTAGACCTCCAATTAAATGATTGAGCATTATATGCTTTTCTCTGAGTGTTATAATTGCTTGTTTTTGAGTGAGTTGTATTTTTCTTTTTATTTATTTTAATAGAGAGAAATTTTGCACCTACAGCTACCCTTTAGGACAATGATCTACGAAGAAGGCACGCAACATCAGGAGGTTAATCGGAACAATCGACTGGAGGAACTCTGGGATCTAGACCTTGCACAAGGAGAACGCAGAGATTGTAGAGATCTTGCATAGAGAGAATGCAGAGCTCTGATCACGATTGGAGCGTGGGATGGAGCCTCATCCTCTACCACCGCTAGTAAATCATGCGGCAATGAATGAGGCAAACCCTCAGAATGACTGCATTGGGTTTATGCACCATGACCCCCGTCCGAGGGAGTTTGGTGGCGGACTGAGGGACCAAGTGATTGACTAGGAAAACACCAGCAGAACGATAGCTCAGAAGACGGACACACACCAGGGGATCGAAGAAATGTCAAAGGTGGTGGGAGATTACATCGACAGGGACAAACACATGGAGGCTTATCGAGTGGCAATAAAGAAAGAAGCACATGGGTTCGGTCAAATCAAATTTGACCAAATCCTTAGGGGGAGAACTGGAAGGCTGATCAATTGGCAAATTAAAGCAGCATCCGGGTCAGTATGTAATTTATTATAGTATTCATTAAGAAATGTTTTGAATTGATTTAAATCAAAAGGAATGAATTGATTTAACTGAAAAATTCAAAACTTTGCGATACCCCGACTATTGTGTAGTAAGGGGTTCACCACCTTGCGAAACAAGTTGGGCTTCTTAACGTACATCATTGCTTTTTCATATTCAAATATATACTTGACATAAAATTCAAAGTTTTAATTTTGATGCAAACATAGATTATTGGTCCTTGTGCTTGGTCTATAGTACCTATCACTCCATCGATTTCGGAGTTGACTCCAAAATATTTTGTTAAACATATCTACAAAATTTTGAACTGAGTAATGATATTTTGGTTTATTTATCTTGCCAAATAGTCCGACCGACGTAAGTACTACCATTATACGTTTTAAAATAGATCCTATTATAGACCTACTTTAATGCATCTAAATATTATACTCCCTCTGTTTCAAAATGTGAGTCACAGTTTACGAAGTGGACAACTATTTTGGGACGGAGGTAGTAAGTGATTCGATCAGACTATTAATTAGGTATGATAACATTATGATCTGATCTCAGCCAAGCACCGTGATCTCTAACTGGTCTCTCTCTTTGCCCCCACCCTAGGGAAATCTCTTTCCTTTAAATGACAGTGAAAATTGTAAAGAGGATTATTTCAATTTAAATAATAATATGAAGTTATGATTAATCCTTATCTGCACATTTCCTTCAAAATTGAGACCAATCCACATTTGGATTAATCACCTTTCCTTCAAAATTGAGACCTCCACACATTCCCTTTCCTATTGGGCACTTAAAATTAAACCATCACCTTTATTTTTCTCATATGCAATTAATACATAAATACGCCCATGCATTGTATCAACTGTCCTTTTATAGCTCCGGCCACTGGCTTCAAGCACAATAGTAGGCATTTGGAGGGTGTAAAAGTTCTCTCCTCGGTGTCACATGACAAAAGTTCTCTCCTTGGTGTCACATGACATTCAAATTAATTAGAATAGGGGCGTTTGAAGATGGCCATTGCACTAAATAATTTTTCAACTTTAATCACCTAATGAATATGCACATTCAATATTAAAAATTACTTAAATTAAGTGATTCCTATTCAATAAAGGGGTTGGACAATCTTGACCATTATTAGCAATCATCTTATCTATATTTATTTTCTTTCCTTAACATGCCCTTAGTAGAAGATTTACCACCCATCATTCTCACTTGCCATTGCACTATAAATGGAGTGTGGCACACTGGCATCAACTTCATCCCAGAGAAGCATACATTTCTAGCAAAAACATATATACAATATATATAGTCTAATATATATTGATCAAGTGAGAGAGATATGGAGAAGTAGATTATGAGTTCCTCATTGTTTGTATTGGGCATGTTTTTGGCTATGGCTGCTATAAGCCCTGTGGTTTATGGCATCACATGCTAAGACGCCATCACGAAGCTGATGCCATGCCAGGGTTACTTGGTGGGCTTTGCTCCTATCTCTGTTCCATGTTGCCAGAGTGCTTAGTCTCTGAATCAGTTGGTCACTTCTAGAGATGATCGGAAAGCAGTGTGTGAGTGCTTCAAGAAAGTTGCATTGGTAGTAGGGGTTAACCCTGACAAAGCTAAGCAACTTCCACAGCTTTGCAATATCACTCTCCCTGTACCCATTGACTTCAACACAGATTGCACAAAGTAACATATCTCTCTCTCTAACACAAAAACACACACACTTCATTGACAATATATATATATATATGTGTGTGTGTGTGTGTTTGTGGTTTTTTCAAAGGTTTATATAATTTGAAGGAATTTTTTCAACTCAATTTGACTTATTTCTTTCTTAATTTTGTGACATGCAGGGTTTGATTGGGTGGTGGAAATTCTGGAGGAGAAAGGTTTCCCTTAGTATATATAATAAATTGCTTGGCCTGAGATAGCAGAAATATTATGTATATCATGTCATGCTAGCAAATCTATTGTAGCTTCTTTCTTTTTTCCCCTGTTGGCCGATCTAAATTGTATGAACAATATAATGAAGATTTTGATTCCCTAATTAAGTTCTTGGGATGTGTTCTAGTTTGGAAATCTTCAATGTTTGCAACAATTAATACTAGGTATTTGGCATCCACATTTGCATTTTTTCCTCCTCTGTTTTTGGTATCTCTATGCAAATACATAGCGAGGAAATGAATATAATCATGCTAAGAAACTATTTTAATGAATTTACCACATGCGTCCTTTTTTATATATAAATTTTGTCACTTATTAACAATTTTTTAAAAAATAAAAATATTTCCTTCCATTTCCACCCATTTTTGGAAGCATAACGAAACCTACTCATCAAACTTTAATGCATTCCTCCAAATTCTTCCATTCTCTTTCCTTTCCTTCCAAAATTTTATACCAAACACAAAAACCATATCCCTTTGTTTCCTTTCCTTTCCATTCCTCCTCCTTTTTTTTTTTTTTTTTTTTTGGATCAAACTGGAACAAGAGAGAGAAAACATTGGAAACTTAACAAGTGCTCTCACGCCAATCATTGAAAAGCTAATAAGTGATGGCTCTCTGGCCAATCATGTCTATCAACAGTGGCCTGATGTTGCAAATATGCAGTATGCAAAAACAGTTTTAAAGTTCATCAACTCATGATTTACAATTAAAATTGCCCTGATCCTTATGAATTAGTGGTTACTATTCCATCATTACAAACAGTCTGCAGCCAAAATCGGGATTCTAAAGCCTGGACCAATTGATCCATGGAAAAATGTTTTGAAGTATGCGCTCTTATGCTTTAGTGAAATCAAAATTGTGCCTTGTGGCCGCCACCACGGGGGTAGAGCAGTTCAATGGTAGGATGAACCTTCCATACCTGAGGAATCGTATCCAAGTGTGGGACTTAAAATCTCACTTGTCATAGGGTGTTACAGGTGGGGAGTTCTCCAATTAGAAGACCTTTAAAAAAACAAAACTGTGCCTTGTGCCTTGTGCCTTGTGCCTTGACTCAGTTGCAATAATATATGCCAAAAACAGCCCTGATTATTTCTTCTCCTCAACACCTTTCAATTTTTAGTTACAATGTTTACACAAAGATGAAAAACTATATATACAATTGATTAAGGATTAAATAATTTGGAAGATTCTCTATCTCTCTCTCACACACACAAACAAAAGAAAAAAAGAAGTTCGTCTTGTTGAGAAACTTAAGAGTAAGAGACAACTGAATCACAAAAATGGTATGGAGCCATGTCCTGTCTAGCATGAATCCGAACACCGTAATCCCAGCTCTATTGTTCTTAAAATATGTCACTGCAACACATTCAACTCAACACTTACTTCTACATTGCAATATAACTTATATAGAAACAAAATATTGTTGAAGTGTTTGATCAAAAACTCACCTAGAGCTTGCCTTTTCTGGTATGAGATAGCATTTGCATAAATTGGCACCATATTTGTGTTATCCAGAATGTCATCTCCATCTCCTTCTTCATTATCAGATTCATGGCAATTACCATTGACAGGATATGTGGCGGATGGAGAAACCTGAGCTCTTGGACTCTCATTGTCCAAATCGTAGAAAGAGTCGATTGTCGCGCAGACATGCCATTTCGCTGCAAGGCATGTCACAGACTGTGCTTTGTGTGTGATCTTCGTTTCACTACGCAAACAAATGAATAGTCCGGTCACCATTGTGATGGAACATAACTGCACCGTAACAATAAGTTGTAATGTGTCAATATACCTACATAGATATGCACTCCCTCAGTCCAATATTAATTATTCCCTTTTCGGTCGTCTTTAAAAACATGTACATGATCAATTTGAAATAAAGAAAACATAAAAAAGTTTAATGCACGAGAGTGTTTATGTGGGAATGATGAATTACTGCAAGTTCTCCAGCTCTGAAAATATTGATTATATCTCCAGACTCGGTTGTAACAAGCAGGGAAGCAAGCTGACTTGCTGTGACAAAGATTATAGTCAATAGAATAAATACTCGAAATCTATGGCTTATGATCCGAAGATTTCTTCGAATCTTGAGGTGTTCAATCAAGATTGAACCCACATCAGATTCTTTTTCAAAGGCCTGAGCAAAGTCGTCTAGTCTAAGTATCTGCAGGTAGCATGTGAGCCGGAAGAGAACACACACGAGGAAGAAAATTGAAGTCCGGTATAGCCACGAAAACAGCTGCAATGTGCAGGCAATGGTGTTGCTCGCATAGATGTTACCAAAGTAGGGAATTTGGGCACCTCCTGAGACGAACCACCATATCTTGTAGGCACAATCCGTGACAAAACAGGGGAGGACTAAAGCAGACAGGAGCTTCATTGATCTCTACAAGGATAAGAAAGGTAGAATTCTGTTTTCAGACTATGTCTAATGAACAAAGACATTAAGTGAAGGTTGTGAAGTCCATCAAACATAACATACAACGAAATGAATTATTATTACAAAATTTGATTAGTCATGTTGGATTCTGAATTGTTAGAAACAATGTCAATGCTCACACTGAATTGGGAATGTGCATACTGTTCATCTGATCAGAATCGAGCTATGATTATATAAGATAAACTAGAAGAAACAGAAAGGGATGGAGATACAAACATGGAACTGCTGTTTATATCCTTTTCGAACATTCTCACTCACATCACATAATCCATTGAGGAACATAAATCTCCGAAATCCATAATTACGAGCAAATGAAGAGAGAGTGATGAATGAAAGCGTGGCGAAAACTGAGAGAGACAATTGGACAATTGCATCATAAGGCTTGCGATGCTTTGAATCACAGCTTGAGCAAGAAAAGATAAAGTGGGAGAGAAGAGGAACACCAATGGTTAGAAGAAAGAAGATTGACCATGAGAGACAAGCTCTCCATAGATTGGATTGATCTAGACAAACCCATGTGAAAAATGACCTCAAATTCTTCAACTCAACAACTCCTTCAGGAATCGAGTACCCTGAAATTGCATTGTTCTTTGTCAAGAAAGTCTCTGTTTCATCTTCCATGGATTTGGTTTCTTTCTCTTACTCGTTTGAAAATTAACATGGGATGAAATCAAATATTAGAAGAGAGAAGGCTTGTAATAGAATTGAATGGAAAAAGAAAATTCAATTGGCTGATCCTATTCATATGGGGATTAAGGCAAAGATGATGATGACCGTGATGACCTGTTCCCGAAAAGAAGTTGATCAAAACTTTTGTTGAACTCCGAATCAATGCAAAACAGAAACAAAATTTTTTATTTTTTTAAATATTTGTTGAAATTGCCCTTTCAATTTAGTTGAATTAGCACTAGAGACATATATATATATATATACAAATGCTAATTTTAGGATGGTTTTAACGAGTCTTCCTCAAATTCAGCTCTTAACTATAAAATTGGGCAAGCTCTAGCAGTGGCTGCCAATCCAATTTTAGGTGGCATTGCTGTGTGTGTCTGGCCCGAGATCATTGTTGGTCAATGCAAGTGAAACTGACCAATTTATGAACATTTGTAAGGTCAACTGCTTGTTTAATTTGATGATATTATGAACTTGAATTTGTGATCTGTACAAAGCCTCAGAAATTCCCAAGAAATTGAAGCTGAAGAGAGTACCTTGATGAAGCTAAAATTTTGAAGGCTATAAATGCATCTTTTCCTAATTACTTTGCAGTTTTCAAAATTTTCCAGCATTATATATACATTCGAACTTGACGGGAGAGCTTGGATTAATTGCATATTCCCTTTTTTAAATAAATTAACTGGTTACCAAAAAAAAATTCGTGTTGTAATTCACAAAATTCTTTTTCTTTTTTCTTTTTGCGCATTATTGTACTAGAAGACTCTGAATTAAGTTTATCCATGCAAATATGGAGGTCAAATTATTCATTGTTGCAAAACATGGAAAATTTCAAAAATATAGCGTAGAATTGAATTACATAAATCCCAGAGAACATGATTAGGAAACGAAGATCTTGGTTGGATTTAGTAATTGTGTTCATACAATTAAGAAGATCGTTCACCAAGGGAAAAAAAGGAAGAAGCTACAATATATTTGCAATCTTGACTTGATACATATAATAATAATTCTGCTATATCAGGCCAACCATTTTATTTTACTATATAAGGAAACCTTTCTAGCTAGTTTCTCCCCCAGAATTTCCACCAACCAATCAAGCCCTGCATGTCACAAAATTAAGACATAGAAAAAAAGTCAATTTGAGTCAGATATATATATATATATATAGTAAAATGAAGTGTGTGTTTGTGTGTGTGAGAGAGAGGTATATGTTACTTTGTGCAATCTGTGTTGAAGTCAATGGATACAAAGAGTGTGATGTTGCAAAGCTGAAGAAGCGGCTTAACTTTGTTAGGGTTAAACCCAACAGCTGGTGCAACTTTTTTGAAGCACTCACACACTGCTTTCCGATCATCTCTATTAGTAATCAACTGATTCAGAAACTGAGCACTCTGGCAACATGGAACCGAGATAGGAAAAAAACCCACCAAGTAACCCTGGCATGGCAACAGCTTCGATACGGCGTCTTAGCATGTGATGCCATAAACCACAGGGCTTATAGCAGCCATAGCCAAAACCACCAAGCCCAATACAAACAATGAGGAACTCATCATCTTCTTCTCCATATCTCTCTCACTTCAATGTATTAGAACAATAATAGTGTGTATATATTTTTAGTTAGCTAGAAATGCTTCTTTGGGATGAAGTTAGTGATGGTGTGGACACTGTTTTTATAGTGCAATGGCAAGTGGGAATGATGGGTGGTAAATCTTCTACCGGGAGCATGTTAAGGAAAGGAAATAAATTTGGGTAAGAGGACGTACTGCCATTCATGGTCATGTCTGGTCAATCTCATTTACTGGGCGTTCACTTGATTTGCGTTCTGTTTCCATTTGGAGTAATGCTAAAAAAAAAAAAAAAAATTACAATTAAGATGTTCATATCAATTATTGAAGGTATTAACTGATAATAAAAACGGATTTTTATATTATACAAATCGAATTGCATAAGAGAACAAATTTTTTTTTTTGGTAAATACTATTTCACCCCTCCAAATGCCTAATATGGTGCTCGGACCAATGATGTGATGCTATAAAAACATATCTGATACGATGCTTGGAGAGTGGTATATGCATAATTGCATATCAGAAAAGTAATGGTGAGAGTTTAATTCTAAGTGCCCAATATGAAACTAAGGAGGTATCAATTTTAATGGAAAGGTGATTAATCCAAATGCGGATTTGTCTCAATTTTGAAGGAAAGGTGCAGATAAGGATTAATCATCACTTCATATTACTATTTAAATTGAAGTAATTTTATTTACATTTTTCACCCTCATTCAAAGCAAAGGAAATAGTTGGGCTGGTTTTAAGAATGGATTTAATTAGGGCTGGTTTTAGGACACGTTTTTTTTTTTTTTTTTTTTTTTTTTTTTTTTTTTTTTGGGGGGGGGGGGGGGGGGGGGGGGGATTTTTAGCTATCTGTGAAATTATTATATATATGTATATAAACTTTGATATACACACTGAAAGATTGCAACTGATTGGATCCTTTACCATAAATGTCACCTATGTAGTTGTGTCGTAGAGCTTTTCAACATAATTATATATGTTTTTAACACATTTATATCTATATATTTCAACCAGATTTAATGTGTTAAAAAACAAAACATTAATAATATACACATTTACATCTACCTATTTGTTTGCTGATAATATTGTTTAATATCATGATTTGTTTTAATTTACCTATTCTAGCTATCTTTATTTTTGAAAATTTTAAATCTGGTTAAGGAAAATTACTAAGGAAAGGGGGAAAAAAAATCCCAAGCATGAAACACAGAATCACAACAAGCTGACAACAACCTCAATTTTCCAAACCTATGAAAATTACCAAAATAGAAAAGAAACACACAAGTCCATGAACTAATGAAACGTCAATCTCTTTTTGGGAAACTCACTTGGTTTTCAGTGATTGTCTTATCTACTTATAACAAAATCAAATAAAAAACTCTTTAACAAAATATACAGAATTTTTAGCAAATATTTGAGTGTGAGAGGATTGAGTTTGAACCAATTCAATAGTTATAATAGTTATATATAGTTGATGGGCTAGGGCTACCTCTGAGAAGACGCTAGAGAATACGAAATTTTGAGTGTGAGGGGAGTGAGTTTGAACACTCAAAACTTAGTATGGGTTTATATATAGAGTTATTAGCAAGTATTTTGTAGGATATTATTATGATGTTTATGAAATTATAGGTGTGAAATGAAAATTAAAATAATTCAGTGTGCCATGGCCCCAGAGAGCCCATGGTGCGTAGGTATGTCCTTGGTTACTTCCATCTTAATTCGGGAAAATTATACTTACCTTCTCAGGTTAATTTGGTTAGTGTGAATTAGCGATCAAGGAAAAGAAATAGAAATTTTTTAAGATTTTTAGTTGTTTGGTTAGCGTGAAAATGAAAGTTTTCAGGAAAGTAATATTCCCGCAACTGCTTGATTTTCCTCGAAATGTTTTCACTATAAAACACGTGAAAATTAACACGTGAAAATTTTAGTTTCGCGTGAAAGTTATATCATTATATATTAATTTCCTCTTATATCCTTGTGTAAAATATTTGTTTTTGTTTCGTAATACTCACAAAAAGAAAATTTTCTCACACAAATTAATACTCCTAAATTGATTACAACTCTTTTACTCTTGAAATTCTTTGCTACACGTACAAAACAAAGTAAACTAATCTAATAAAAGAGTCCTAATATAAAATGAAAACTTCCAAAAAAAAAAAAAAAAAAAAACTATATAAAGAGACACATACATATCTAGACATATATATTTATTTATAAATCCAATTATATATATTATTTTATCACTATTATTATTATTAAATTCATAAGGGTAACTTAATTTTATATATTATTTTACTAATATTATTATTATTTAATTGTATATATTATTATTATTTTACTATTACATTCATAAGGGTAATTTTGACATATAAAATCATTTTCCTTTCATTCTCTTGCTATCCAAACTAATTAAACAACATTTTCTCACAATTCTTCAAAAAAATTCTTGCTAACCAAATGCATAATAGAAAATTAATTTTCTTTCCTTTCACTTCACTTTCCTTTCTTTTACTTTCCATCATCAATTTCCAGCTAACCATTTAGTAAGAATTTATTATATTTACCTCACTTATGTTTTAGATGATTACAGTTATCTTCTTTCTAGTTTTTTGGGTAACAAATTTACGCTGTCGTTCAAAGAAAGTAAATGCTGATGACAAGTTTTTTAGTTTTAAATGACCAATATGCCCTTCAAATTCATGTGAAAACACTTTTGTCAAATACTTGTGTAAAAAGACAAAACTAAAAAAAAATTAGATTGAAGAAAATGCCATAGTATATATATATTTTTGCTCTAGAATCATTAGACAAAAGTGTCTTCATAGAAATTTAAAGACACATTTGTCAAAAAAAAGTTAAAAAAACATGTCACATCCATCTATTGCTGGAATTAGTAAAACTAACGGCATGGGGCGATTTGTTTGGCACATATAACTAAAATGGAATTAATTATAATTATTCAAAATACATGGAATAAGTGTAATAAATCTTAAGTAAAGGAGTGGTAAGTATAATTTACCTTGATGTTATTTACAACTTTATTTAAGTAGTCATTATTTTCTTGATTTTCTTCTTTAATTTCTCTAACAAACTTGTACACGCAGTTGATTTATATATAGATGAAAACACCCATATCAACAAAAATTCCATTGTTAGTTTCTCCCTGCCCGGTCTTAAACAACACCTTGATAGTTGTTTCCACTCATCAATGGACTTTAAATCGTTAGGAAAATTGATTTACCTACTTTCAATTGAAAAGTGTATCTGATAAAATAATTTTAGATGATCTATCAAAAATTTAGATGACATTTATCATGCTTTTTTTTTTTTCATTTTTTTTATTTCTTTTATTTATAACAAAGAGCATCATTTTCA